GAGCAAGCATGGGTCTGCCGTCTAGTGGTTGGTCAAACCCTTTTTACTGGGCCGCAAAAAGGCTCCAAAGTCCACTCTTCATATAGTATATTTCTCTATTATCTTATCTTTCACCTCCCCTATCCTTCTCCCATGCGCAGGGTAGCAAACCGGCTGCCTATAGGCTGGTTAACCTCCCTGCCGTTCTTTTCCCCCTATTTTCCTTCCTTCCTTCCTTACCATACAGTACTGCACATGGCTAAGCTATGCTGCTATAGTGGCGTGGCCACCCGGCTTGGTGGTCTGTTGGCTAAGGTACCCAGCTGCTGACCCGCAAGTCGCGGGATTGAATCCCGGCTGCGGCGGCTGCAATTTCTATGTGGCACACTGTAGACCCACATGCTGAGATTTGGGTGCCCATTAAAGAACCCCAGGTGGTCGATACTTCAGTAGCCCTCCACTATTAAGGGCAGAAACAGATCACAAACTCACGGGACGAAAAGAAGAGACACAAACAAGCGCTGACTCTCAACTGAAGAATTTATTGAAATATACAAGTTATCTGAACACATAAGATAAAAACGCATAGAACATGCACAGAGGGCCGGCGTTCTATGCGTTTTTATCTTATGTGTTCAGATAACTTGTATATTTCAATAAATTCTTCAGTTGATAGTCAGCGCTTGTTTGTGTCTCTTCTCTTCGTCCCGTGAGTTTGTGCGCTGTTTCTGCCCATAATGTATCACCAACTAGCCCAACTTTCAGTCTTGCCCTCCACTATACGGCGTCTTTAATAATCACATGTTGGTTTTAGGATGTTAAACCCCACATACCATTCAAGGAGCTGCTTGGCCGATAGCCGCTTTCAGCCAGGCCCGCGAACCGGCCGATCTATAAGCTTAAACAGCTGATCTTTCAAACCACGTACCGTTCCGAAACTATCAGTGACATGAAGTACGCCTATTCGACTGCCCCTTAGGGCACGAACATCAACCGCGTGGAGATAATAAGGTATCAATGGGACAGCGCAGAAGATAAGATATATATCTTTCTTAATGAGCCAAGGCCTCGGCCCGCGCCTGTCGTACAGTAGTGGCGAGGCTTTAACCACTTGTCTTTCATTGAAAAGCCGTTGAGCATGAATATGTAGCTCATTTGCAAATTTTAACTGCCAGCGCCGCTTTCTTTCCTTGAGACTTTCGGGTCGCATCCGGCGACGAGCATGCGAAATTTCGAATGTATATTTGCGTTTAAAATAGTCGAGGCTGGACGTGAGCTGAAAGAAAGTGGCACTGTAGTTCGACATTAAAAAATAGAAGGATGGCACACTACTGGTTCAGTCTAAACGCACTTCGTTTAAAGTGAGAGCTGCAAACGGCAAGATTACTTCTGAAGGATAGATGGTTTGCCCTGATGGCACTAAAACAGCCCCGTGTGAGCACCAACATGGTACGATGTCAACTTTGATTGATTGATATGTGGGGTTTAACGTCCCAAAACCACTATATGATTATGAGAGACGCCGTAGTGGAGGGCTCCGGAAATTTAGACCACCTGGGGTTCTTTAACGTGCACCCAAATCTGAGCACACGGGCCTACAACATTTCCGCCTCCATCGGAAATGCAGCCGCCGCAGCCGGGATTCGAACCCGCGCCCTGCGGGTCAGCAGCCGAGTACCTTAGCCACTAGACCACCGCGGCGGGGCATGTCAACTTTGTTATGTCACGTCATTGTTATGAGTGTTATATCATATCAACATCGCCAGTCGGTTAATTCGTTATCGGTGCACAAAGGTCAAACAATGTTCCAGAAACGTCGTTATTACACCAAAACAAATTAGTCTCCGTTTTACAATGTTGTCATCAGAAACGTTGTAGCGTTGAAGTAACACAAGCGATGAGAAAAAGAGGGAAAAGGGAAAGTCAACCACAAAAGCTTTGCGGACTGCGCGAACGCGTGCTGAACTGCCCGTCCGTGCCACCTAGTGGAGTGCAATCTACCGTTGACCGCAGTTCTAGGCCGGAAACGGCTCTTCTTGTTATTCACTGGCCCTTTTTTTTTTTTCTAATTTTCTACTGCCGCGAAGCGCATTGTAAGTTCGCAGTTTTCACGCGAAGCGCTTATGTTCAGCATATGACCGTCATATTTTTCATGGCGAGGTGAACGCTATCACGGCCTGCCTCGAACGGCCTTCGCTTGGCTTGGTATCTCTTTGTGACGGAGATTGCGACTGATAACGGCTATGCTCATAAACTGCTCTCGAGGTGGAGAAACATATGCTAAAAAGTACGTCGCGTTAAAAGGGGAAAGGTGAGTGAGTGAGTGAAATAACTTGAAGTCCACAATATACGCGAGTTAACTCAGCGTCACCTGGCTAGGCCTACTCGGGGTCGGTTAGATTAAACCTGACCACCCACGCACAAGCCCTCTGTAAGGCTATAGGATTTGAGAGGTGAAGCCCTGGGCCTTAATCAGCCTACTCATTTCCTCTTGTTGAAAAGGGGGACCGGCAAAGGCACAGCGCCACAGGACATGCTGGAAGTCCACATAACCGTGACACAAGGTGAAAATTAATTGTACCCAGTCAGAAAGCAAACATGGCCATAGATAAAGGGAGGGATGTGACTCGGGCGCTGGGTGCTGTCGATCGCCGCTGACGCAGCGCAAGTGTCGCGAAGAGGCTTTTGGCCACGCACTCGCACGGTCCACAAAAGTGGTCGACTGTACATATATGCAGGTTGTGGTTGCAGTGACTAACACAGCGATCAGAAGCAGGTACGTGCCAATCACGCATCAGCAGAATGTCCGTACACGCGCTGTTCTTTTCGGTTGATGCGTGCTGACAGGTGTCTGGCTTTATACTCGTTCAGTTAGTCACTGGAACCACACAGCCTGCATATACATACCCCTGGCTTCGCAAATAAAGATAATTTGAAAGTTAGCGCTCGTCTGCGTCCCTTCTTTTCCCGTCCCTTGTGTTACTTCCGCGCTGTCACGTTTCTTACCATGGAGTACCAACTAGAGCACTTTAAGGAAAAAGATTGAGTAAAAAAAACGTCTCTTGGTCCCACAGGTCCCTTTGCGCTATTGCCGCGCGCCCGGTATACATTCTGGCCACGATCGAGATGCGTATTATCAGCGTTGTATAGCATTTTCGAAAGGAAAGGGACCAGCGCCGAGTTTTCAGGAAAGGAAGCGCACGCAAGTTCGATGACGATTATTGTTGTAGGACAAAGAGACACCCTTTTTGCTCGATCTTTGTTAGAGTGCCAGATTCGCCGTCCTCCTAAGTTATAATACTGCACTGGCGTTATCAAATGATTGACTGATTTGTGGGGTTTAACGTCCCAAAACCACCATATGATTATGAGAGACGCCGTAGTGGAGGGCTCCGGAAATTTTGACCACCTGGGGTTCTTTAACGTGCACCCAAATCTGAGCACACGGGCCTCGACATTTCCGCCTCCATCGGAAATGCAGCCGCCGCAGCCGGGATTTGAACCCGCGACCTGCGGGTCAGCAGCCGAGTACCTTAGCCACTAGACCACCGCGGCGGGGCCACTGACGTTATCTAAGCAGGCATGCTAGAGCCACGTTTTGCGTCCGTAACTTGATAGTGTGAACGACAAAGAATGAGTGGCCTGAGGGCCTCTGAAATCAACCAATATTCGCCCACGCAACGATATCATCCGATGACGACGTATGTGATGGAGTGATAGTTTTAGCACCGTTCGCGTTGATGACGTCGATGGTTACGCTTCCTGTTTCATGAGGCATCTTAAGATTTTAATATTCGTTCTAATGTCGAGAACAAGAGATAAATTATGCGTGCACTGTTGGTTTGTTCATTTTGTGCAAGTAGCACCTAATAATAATAATAATAATAATAATAATAATAATAATAATAATAATAATAATAATAATAATAATAATAATAATATAATAATAATAATAATAATAATAATAATAAATATTGTTGTGGTGTTGTTGTTTTATAACGAAAATAATAACATAATAATATTCTGGGGTCTTAGAATCCCGAAACCTCGGTGTGATTATAAGAGACTCCTTATTGGAGGGCTCCGGAAATTCAGACCACCTGGTGTTCTTTACCGTGCACCTAAATCTGAGCATGAGGGCTTCGTGCATTTTCACCTCCATAGAAAATGCGGCCGCCTCTGCCGGGATCCCTTCCCACGACCCTGGCGTCGTGAGTCGAGTTCCACAACTACACACCATGGCAGCGCCTGCAGCAAGCAATCGTTCTTCCTACAACCGAGCGCAGAAAAGAACACGGAACAGAAACCTGATCTCTTTATGTCGCATGTTCTTATGTGCGCTCTGGTTGGTGAAAAATGATGAGTAACCAACGCGCCCAAATGTTCTCCGTTTGAACATGCAAGGAATGTTTGATTGTTATTGATTGACATGTGGGTTTTACCGTCTCAATACCACCATATGATTATGAGAGACTCCATAGTGGAGGGCTCCGGAAATTTCGACCACCTGGGGTTCTTTAAAGTGCACCCAAATCTGAGCACACGGACCTACAACGTTTTCGCGCTAGCAATGTTTGACAAGCGTATACACCGACAGAAGCCATCTAATGACACCCTTGCTTAAACTCGGGCCCCTCAATTTAATTTTGGATACGCAATCAAACAACGTATTACTCTCGTGGTGAGGGGGGGGGGGGAGTTGAGGAGAGATGGCATGACTGATATTCACGATACCGATAAGCACTGCACTTATCGGGTGATACAAATAAAACAAAAAGGTGGGTCTAGCTTGTTTTGGCTCGTGTTCTCGCATTCCCAGTGAAATGCGCACCCTCAAAAAACAATCGTATACGAGTCAGCTGCTCTATCTCCAATTTTACTAATAAGCGATCGGAAATTAATCGGGGGCGCCAGGATAATGCGAATTCCGCGCTAAACTTATGGAATTCCCGCGATAAGCTGGATAAGCTGGCCCGTATTAAAACGGCATCACTGGTCGTGGTGGCGAGTCGTTCCGTATAGCAGCACGTCACGACAACACCCGACATGTCACTCTCTAAGCCCGAAGTATCACTGCACCAACTAAGCGAGCACGCTGTCGTAGGCGTCAACTGGAGGCCCATGCGGCTAGTCGGAGAAGTACCACGCGAGCATGCGTGTGATCACTGCCGCGTCATCCCGAGGGAAACGGCCATGCTGCCATGCGAGCACGTCCTGTGCCACCTCTGCCGCCAAGCGAACACTTCGACGGGCAGATTGGTGTGTCCCATCGATAAGCGGTCTTGCGATAAAGAAGAACTCCGGATGATGCAGCTACCGGAAACGGCATTGAACGCCTTGAAGGTGAGTATATAGTTGAATCACCTTTCCGTTCCGACAACTGCTGAAATGATGATATGATAATATCAGGCGTTTGACGTGCCCAAACCTCGATATGATTTTGAGGCGTGTCGTGTTCCGGAAAATTATGTCATCCGGGCTTCTTCAGAGTGCGCTTAAGTATAAGGATACGCGCCTCCAGTAACTTATCCCAGGGCGTGGTATCTATATTATATATATATGTATATATATATATACCTTCCACATTAAATAAAACCACCACGGCCTGGGTGGACCCTGCAACTTTCGCGTTTGCAGAATAGTGCAACCACTGTAGCATCGCACCAGCTGATATTTAATTGTGCCGCTTGCTCATCTTTAGAGCAGCCCTGCTCAACTTCCACTGCCTGTTGCAACTTGCCACTGCAGCTCTCTTGAACAAACTTATCTTTTCACTAGCCTTGTTATCAGCGGAAACAGAAGAGTACTTGTTCGGGTGAAAATATCGCGATTTATGGTACCAAAAAATTGTGCGTGCTCATTAATATAGAAACTGTTTTAACATAGAAAAATTGACTTGGTCTCGAAAAACATTATCAGCATCACTAACACCGAGACGCCTTCTCTTGTTCCTTCTCTTCGCACGCTTCACTGCCATGAGACACTGGCCGATTTGTCCGACGTAGGATTCAATATGTCTGATGTCTTAGCGAAGAAATACAGGGAGCTATAAAGAAGGAAAAAGTTAAAAAGAGAGAAAGTGACAGAAAAAGACATGACTGATCCCTCTTTTTTTTAGGAATCGGTATAATACGAAAGTGAAAAATGTCTTCGCCGAGGTAGTTGCGCGCTCATTTTGCATTATTTCACCACAAGGCCGAAGGAATGAATGCTACAGCAACAAAATGCGATTTTATGCTAAGAACGGCAAGCAGCTCGAAACGTAGACTGCGCAACTCATGCAGAAAGTACGCACGAAATAAGCATATACAGAACGAGCGCTGACAAACAACTGCGTCAGCTCGACACCTAAAGCACGCCATTGAAACATAAAGCAAGACGTATACGAGACGAACGCAGATGTACACACAGACAAGCCCGAACAAGTGTCACAATTCTTGCCTCATGTTATGTGAGCAGCGCGCTCCTTTTGTAAACGCGGCCGCGGCAGCGAGCGGAGTGACCTTCGCGCTCTCCTGAATCACGAGTCTGATAAAAAAAAATAGAGGAGGCGCTGGTCTGATCAGATAAGAGAGGGCGCAGGAAAGACCATGCACCGTGGAGGCGTGCGCTCAGAAAAACGCGAGAGGTGCCCAACGTTAAAGCTCCTTGATCTTTACCCAACGCTGAAGCCATGATCAAGGGGGGCGTATCAGTTTTACCCAACGCGAACCTGTTGCGCCATCTCGCTACTGATTACGAAAACGCAGTGAAGTTAAAGAGCTCTGAGGAGCGCCAACGTAGAGTTACTGTATGTTCTACCTTTAGCTAACTAAAGGTAGCATATACAGTAACTCTACGCACGGTACATGGTGTATATAAATGGCTTGCCGTTAGCAAGCTTGGATGCTTGGGCGGTGATTTTTTTTTTTTTGGGGGGGGGGGGCGTTCTTGTCTAGCTTTGCGTCGTCTTCGCGCTGTTAAGCAATGAACTTGTAACAAATGGTCTGGATTACCATGAGCAACATGTACTTCGGGAGACGCACTGTCACTGAAACTCAGAGCGGCTAAAGTAGAGCAAGCGAGAAAGGAGGAGTGGTACGGCGACAACGTAGTGCACGCGATAACGTACTGCACTGTACTGGCAATCATTGTTAGCATTTCTCGCTGACGATGCTTTTTCTTTTTTTTAATTAATAATATTCTATTTTTCAGGCACATTGCTGGAATGAAGACAAAGGCTGCCAGTTTGTCGGCCCCGTGGAAACTCTGCTCCGGCATTACGAGAGGGACTGCGGGTTCCGCTCCATTCAGTGTTCAATAAGTCGGGAGAGAGTGCTCCTCAAAGACCTGCCGGTGCATTGTAATGGAGAGGAATGCACGGCCACCGGAGAGGCCGCTGCAGCTTCCGCCAGCTCTTACCCGACCCGGGACGCAACACCATCGGTCAGCAGCATCACGGATACCGTGGAAGAACAGAAGAGGCAACTTCGCGAGATTCATTCGCACGTCGCTGTTATGCAGTCCCAGGTAGAGAAGCTCCACGAAGCGTCGGCGATGAGAATGCGAAAGGCGCAAGAATTACAGCGCCAGCAAGCAGATCGCGAGCGTCAACCGAAGGGAGGCAGCTTACTTCGAAAGTTCAACAATTCCTTGCGTCGTAGCTTTGGGAAAGCCAGGAAAGCGAGAGAGTCAGAATCAGTGCAGCAGCTTGCCGAAACCGTCGACAGTGTAGGCGAATCAAGTCAGATATAATGCGACAGTTCTTCCGATTTACACTGCCTAATCGGGACGTTATTCTGAATATTGTCGAATTCCGTCGAGCTGTCAAATTCCGTCATTGGTCAACTCTGAATCAATAAGGCTGCCACGGACCCTCTGAGTGGATTAAAATTCCGCCACTACAAAATGTGCCGACATGGCGGAATCCGACAGTGTCCAAAATGGTACCACTGGACAGAAATCAAAGAACTGGCACGAAACCGTGCTGACGCTAGTCGTCAAACCTACACTTATAAAATCAAATCAATGTTTCATCCAAGTTGAAAGGTTTTAGAACTGTGAAGTATCGATAAACATGATATGCATGGATAAAAACAGGGGGAGCTCAAACAGAAAAAAAAACTTTGCTGTCATCTCGCGCACACAAAAATTCTCTCACAGAATTAATAAAGCATATCACAGAAAATTATGACACACACGTAGTTTTTTCGGCCTCTAATCAACCGGTGAGCTTATGCAGAAACAGAAACCCAGACAACTTAACAGTCGGTATGCGGAAATAAGCATGGTAGCAAATTTGTTTATCGCAGTGCACGTGTTCTCTACCGGATCGCGGGCGGATCAGTCACGCGACAGGTGACGGGATTCTGAACACTCCGCAACCAGCATTCAAACGACGGGGGAGAATTCACGCTACAAACGAGAAGATCGAAATTGATCCCCGAGGATCCCGACTGGGATTTGGGACTCGGTCGTTTCACGAATCGCTCCGCGCGGACCGTAGCGGGGAGGAAAAATTTGGGCTTGTTGGTTTTGCATAATGAAGTACGTACAAGGCGAACTCAACACGGGGATACTAAAAGAGAGACATGATTGATTGATATGTGGGGTTTAACGTCCCAAAACCACCATATGATTATGAGAGACGCCGTAGTGGAGGGCTCCGGAAATTCCGACCACCTGTGGTTCTTTATGGTGCATTCAGACGACGGACCAAATCGGGATGTGACGGGACGGACGGCGCGTCACGTGACCTCACATCAGCGATTCCCCTCGTCCGCGACTCGTCCGCGCGGCTCGCGGACGGATGACCCCAACCTGTTTCTCACATCGGGATCCTGGCGGGAGAGAGCCGGTACTTCAGCGGAATAGCTCAAGGTTGGTGGCAACCAGTACACTTTTCGTCTCCTCGCGCCATGTCCTCCATGGCTCGCGAATAGCTACATGACTGGTCGGCATCATCTACGCTTGAGCATGGTTTACTTCGTTTCTGGGGGCTTTGTTCTCGGGTGATTAAATACGCAGAATTCACTTTTGGTGGTTCGGGAAATGTCGCCGCCGTCGTTTGACACGCGAGATTCTTAGCCGCCATGATGGTGAAATTTTCTAACTTCTGCAACCGGCGACGCGCCGCTTTTAAAAAAGGATGGGAGACGCGTTAAGAAGTTCTACAAGTGGGGAACAATGGTGTTGAAAGAACATTCTGCCAGCAACTACCTTTTCTCCTGACAGAATAACACTCCTCGTTCATTTGTCACAACGCGACAGACATCGCAGTCAAGCGTCGCTTCTTGCGGGCATCCATGTTGAATACTCTCAAACCGGTCTGCTTTCAGCAGGCGCAGGTGAGCGGCGAACCTGCTGTCGAGGGTAATCCGGCTGTTTTCTCCTAGGAAACCGTCCGTCGTGTGGATGCGTCTGCAGGCGGATCATCCGCGGATTAGCCGTCCGCGTCCACGACAAATCCGGATTCGGTCCGTCGTCTGAATGCACCATTAACGTGCGCCCAAATCTGAGCAGACGGGCCTACAACATTTCCGCCTCCAACGGAAATGCAGCCGCCGCAGCCGGGATTCGATCCCGCTATATACGCACGAGACCGACGGTGATGCTGCTGGAAGGTTTACAATATTATAGTGATTTAGCGGTGAAAGCACATAAATGCTTGAAAAAAAATTCCGCCATATCCACGAAGTGAATGATGATGAGTGGGCGAAGCTCCGGAGGTAAACCTGGTAAACCATAAATTCTCTGTACATTTTGCCCACTCGATTTTTATTACATCGCTCCCCCTAGCGTACGTCGCCGCACTAAGTCGAACGATTGCCTTCAACCAATGACACGCGCCATATGTGACATTATTCCTATGTTATAAGATCTCGCGTCTTTCATCAACTACAAGTACCGCTTTCTAGTTTATAACATCTTGCATCTTTTCATCATCAGCTACAAGTACCACCATCTAGTAAACACTACAAGAACTAAACGAGAGGTGGCTACATACAGGAGACGGTACCGCCATCTAGTGAACACTGCAAAAACTAAACTAGAGGTGGCTACATACAGGGGACGGTACCGCCATCTAGTGAACACTGCAAGAACTAAACTAGAGGTGGCTACATACAGGCTACAGGGGACGCACAGCCCACGCCCTAAGGAGCTTCGCCCCTAAAAACAGAACATAATGATGCAGGGAAGCAACAAGGGACGCACAGTCCTGGTAAATAGTTTTTAGGCCACGCTTCCATAGAAATACATTAGATGGCGGCTTGGGAATTTTAGACCCCCCTTTACGTACACAGCGCTCTTTGCCACCCATGTTTGCCTTATTTGCTTCCATTACTGCATTATTTTTCTTCCAGCGATGACATGCTTGCGCTGCAAACCCTGCGAAATATACGAGACGGAAAACTGTACAATGCGATCTTTCATCTGAAAGCTTTTCTATTTATTGACGTGATGCAAGGAGGTGTTGGCCACCAAAGGACGCCGGCTACTGTTTATGCCTTAGAGGTGTCTAACATAGATCACGTATAGGTTCCAAGTCTCCCAGCGTAAGAATTTCAGAGCACATATAATATACAATTGAGCTTAGCACTTTGGACACGAGATTTCGAAACAACGCATTCAACAATCAAATATATATGCATGCATGGTATTGCGAAGATTCGTAAACTACTACTAACAAAACGTCCTAGATTGTTCTGTCACCATGAGACTCGGTGCGCGTGTTTCCTTCTGAAGCGCTTTGGTTCTGCTGCGTCGTGTCTCTAGGGGGTGTTGCGACTCCGGGTCCCGTGGGTCTCGGTTTGGTTGCAGGCCCCCGTCCTAAGACCTATCGTCGAACAAGTCAGATGAGGTGCTCGTAATAACGACAACAATTTATTTACATGGTTAGTAACTTAGAATTTTAAAGGGGGTATCAAGTGATCAGAACTGCACAGGAGAACTGTTCAACTGTAGAACTCAAAATATGCAAAAGTCTTCCGCTTATATAGCGCCGCGTTGCCAACCCGGAGCGCATAGTCCTTGGCTTCAGCCAATACGGTGCTCGATTGTCTCGGTGCTCCACACACGAAGGCGGTGTTGCGTCCCGCTGCCAGTGACGTGTTCGAGACGGGAGTGCTGTCGCCACAACTCAGTTACGCGAATGCGGCGACTGTTACTCAGCATGGTGTCGCGAGACAGGCGCGCAGGATGGATGAATTGATATGGCTGTACCCTTTAGATCAGGCGGTGGCTAGCGCCACCAAGCCGTAATACTTAGTGAACAAAACGCTAGATTTATTTTTCCCCCTTTAAAAAGTGAGGTTGAGGACTTGTACTTTGCAGTGAAGGGTTTAGTTTTCACTCGTGCCTTGACTTTAGCCACCAATCAGATAACCTCCTTCTAGTCAATTCTACCCGCTTGAAGTCTATCTATTTCGCCCTCCCTGTCCTA